CAATAAAAGTCAGCGTTGGACAGGAGCAGCACCGAGAGGAGGTTCTCTCCAGCTAACAAGCTGTGGAGGAGGAGAAATATGATACAAAAATCAGTGTATCTTAGTATCGATCACTCACTGATTCTGATGCAAATGAGTCACAGCAGCAGTGAAATGACATTTAGTTTTAAAAAAAAATAAAGGAACATTTCGTCTTCCTCATGTGATTTCATAGAAACTTTTACGCTACGGCTACAGTATGCTAACTTTTCGTTTTTGTTGTTCTTTCTTGCTTAACTCTTACTTAATGCATGCATCCATAGTGTGTGTGTGTGGGTGTGTGTGTGTGTGTGTGTGTTTGCTCTTTGCAGCCAAATGTGACTCATCATTAACACCCTGATTACAGCATCATCGCCTCAGTCGAGAGCAAATGGGCCCTAATTGAACTTAGAGTGTGACTGGGAGGTATTCAAGACAGAGTGTGTATGAGGTTGTTTGTGTGTGTGTGTGTGTGTTTGTTGACGTCACACACACACACTCTGCTTATTTCAGACATTTTCTATTCTTTCTTCAATCCATCACATGGAGTTAAAAAAAAACCAACTTTTTGTTTTTACGATTATTGTTTATATGGTTTATGGCTTTGGTTTCTTTCAGTGACTCCCACGAGTCTCATCTCCCTACCCACAATGCCTTGTTCTATTTCCAGCATATTTAAAGTCCAAATGTGACACTTGGGCAGGTTTTATGTGGCCGGCGACACACAATTCACAAAATGGCTCACCAACAGGGAAACAAAATGTACTTTCTTTACTGTTTCTTTGCCAACTTTTAGCCAACTAAGGTTTTTCTTAATGGAATTTATTAACAATAGCAAACATTTTGGCTCACATGAAGATATTATTTAAATTTTAATGTAAAAAATTCTAAGCTATCTTTAACTATCTCTGTTTAGCTGATTAGCTTTAAGCTAGGTTTATACTAGTCATTGATAACTGTTTAGTCACCCTCCCTGCCCTGTGAAAGTGTCAAAAACCCTTTAAATATCACAGTCTCACTGGCTGTGACTCATTAGTGTCTTCGTCACTGAGTCTCCACTGATGTTAGCAAATCCTTTTATATCTTGATTTAGTCACCCTCCCTGCCCTGTGAAAGTGTCAAAAACCCTTTAAATATCACAGTCTCACTGGCTGTGACTCATTAGTGTCTTCGTCACTGAGTCTCCACTGATGTTCAGGTCCATGGACAAATCAGGTTAAAAGGGGAAATTAATGAATTATTACTTATGTATTTGATCTATTTTTGACAAGAAAAAATATAATTAATGTTATTTTTAAAACTGCTAAAAATTAAAAACTAATAGTCCAGCTGTGTAAAATCTGCTGTTCCAAATCCGGCCACAGGGGAGAGGTGTTCCTTCTAATTCCTGCCCTTAAAGGTACTTTGAATAATCCCGCCCCAGGGAAGCTTTTGTTGCCGTTAAATAATCATCATTAGCATGTTTTTAGTTTGAAGAGTCAGTAAAACGGTGCAGAATACTGATCAGGGCCTCAGTGTTGAACCTGACTCTTCAGAGACCTGAACATAAATCTGCTCTGGGGCAGAAATGTGTGAAGGAGGATCAGCTGACGAAGCAGAAGGCGCTTCAAGGACATGGTACGAAAGACGAGTGTGTTGTGGATCAAAACTGCTTTAAATCCTCCAAGTGATCGATATCTTCATGAGTAGCATCAGCAGATCGTGGAGAGATGATGGGTCCTGCAGATGTTTGTGCATTTGGAACCAAAAAGGCATCAGGGATTAAGTCAAACAGTTGGATCAGGAATTTGGTGGAACAGAAAATTTGTCAATAGAAAATTTAAAAAAAACAATAGCTGAGAAAAATCTACTAGATAGCCACAATAATAGCACAGCTAGCTAACAGGAAGCTGAAAAGGAAAGACTAAGAAATGCCAGGTGATGGGTTTGGCACCTCAGACATGGAGGGCAGCTGTCGACTGGTGCAGAAGAACAGCCCCATGGTGGGTGAGGTAAAGGTCTGAAATGAAAATCAGGGACATTTTCAATGCAGAGGTGAAAAAAAATCATTAACATTATCATTAGCATTAAAAAATGGGGACAAGTACTTTTTACTGAATATTGACAATCTTGTCCGTCTCCCAAATTAGCATTAAAAAATGGGCACAAGTACTTTTTAATGAATATTGACAATCTTGTCCGTCTCCCCTGGTCTCTCTTCTCTTTTATATCACTCTTTCACTCTGTCTTCCCTTCACTCTTATGTTACTTCATTATTTCTGCCTCTGTCTCGTTTACAACACAACAAAACGCTGTGCTATCCCATAATATTCATGACACTATTTTACAGCACTATTCTGGATTATACAAAGGCAAATATTATGGAATGCTATTATATTATATTATATTACTCAGAGCAGACTCTACACTCTCCAAATAATAACTACAAAAAAAAAAGAAAACTCTGACCGCCCCCGCACTGTACACAAGCACATATTTATTTATACAAATATATTATGTATAACAATTGCATATCAACAGTTTTCTTCGTCTTTTTTGTCTTTTTCAGTTTAAGTCTTTACGTTAAATACAGGACCATCAGCTTCAAAAATGCAAGTCAATTAAGAAAGAGTTAAAAGATACAAAAGGAGATCCGTCCAGTTGGGCTGTTCTGCATGAGGAATGAAAATCAATAATGACAATAATAACAACCCAATTATACCTCAGCATTTGATTACACACTGCAATCCTCATGTGACCTCGGTGCTAACAGGTCGTTTCTAAGGAAATATGGAAAACGTTGGCCAATGTGTAGGAGTGTTGATTCCTCAGGAAAACAACTTTGACTTGTTTGTTTGTTTTTTCACTCTTCTTGGGTGCTTGATCTCAAGTTGTAAAGAAAATGAGAAAAGTATGTGCTTTGTGTTGTGGAAAACAATAACAGTGGGTTCTACAGAAAAACAAGCTTCGAGAAAAATAAACGAAAAAAACAGAAATAGTTATCAATTAACAAGGACGAGAGAGAAGAAACACAAAAACCTGTTGGATTTCACTCTGGAGATAGAGAAGTGTTTTGTGACCTTTACTGAAGAAAAAAAAGAGAGAGAAAAAAACATCTTACATCATCTGACTGTTGTGCACAATGATTGTCCAAATAGAACTGCAGGGAACAGACACATAAACCCACGCTGTGTGCTGTACATTATACAACTATTCAACTTAATAAAATAATCTCATAATATAATTAGGACGGGGACTTTAAGCATTAATTCCAATAAAAGACTGAGTTCAAATAAAAACAAATTTAAGGACAGCTCTGGTTTTTTTCCCCTTTCATTTCTGGTTTACCGATAAATGCACAAAATCCAGCCTGTAGGTGGCAGTAATGGACCTAAAGTCTGTTTGCTAGCTGCAAAGAAGATAAAGAGGATGCACCGAGTGATGTCAGCGCACAAGAAAGTTTAGTTAACGTGATGGAAGACAGAACAACATTGCTCAGCTTGTTAGGCAGGAGATGTTTTATGATGTCAGGTTGGATAAGAGTGTGCTAAAAATAGTTTCTTATCCTCTTGGAGCAGAACTCCAAGCCTTTACTACGACCTCACTGGAAAATATTTTGTGACAAGTAGGATAACAGAGCTAACGTTAGCTAAAATAGTCCTGGTACAAACACTAGAGCTAACGTTAGCTCCAACAGAGTAGCTGCAGAAACCAAAGCTAATGTTAGCTACAGAAGTTCTGTTATCAAGGGCTAACATTAGCTGGTACAGATAAACAGTGCAGCCAGTCCACAATAGACAAGAAGAGGAAGTTCAGAGCCCAAAAGAGTTCAAATGTTGAATATACTGTAATAGCTGTAATTGTACTACCAGTGAGTAGTACTCTGTGAATGTAGTAGCCAGATAAATAGAGAGTAGAGTAAACATTTTTGTTTGTCTTTATCTCCACCTGGCTGTCTGCGCATTGATTCAATTGTCAACCAAATTAAGTTGATTAGAAAATGTATGATTTTAAATAAATACAAAGCCTCCAATTAATTTGTTTTGGCCTCCCGTCGCTAATTAGAATCTTAACATATACATGTACTCGCAATATTTCCACATGAACAAACAAGTTTGAAGATAAAATCTATAATAAACTATAACGTAGAGGAAAATAATCTGTAAAATAAATATACTATATATACTGATTTGTTATGTAATCAGTGACATTCATGTTCTGAGGGATAATCTGATGTCTTATTGCACATTGTTTTGCACATGTCACTTGTCAACCTGGACCAGATCCTGCCCAAATATGACACACAGGACAATTTCTTTGGCCACATGTGGTTCAAATCTGAATCGTTTGATGTATTTTAGTCAAAGATTAGGGTAGCTTTAAATGTGTGAGAGAAACGGGTCTGTGGGTGTGACTTCATTATTTCAAAATAGCCACATTGGGCTACATTTGAAATGCAACATATGGGCCACCGAAGGAGCTAATTACTTTGTCAGGGCCAGAAAAAAAAAAAACTTTAATTTTCAGATGTGGCCCACAGATCAAGTTCCATTTAAGCCAAATTTAGGTTTCAAGTAGGATAATACACTGTAGACCGCTGTTTCCCAAACACTGGGTCACGACCCTCAGGTGGGTCAGAAGAGGTTTTTTTTGAGTCATCTCTCAACATGTTTCCCAGGAGTTTACAAACAATGTCTATTGACTTGGGTCGCAAAGGTTTGTGTCCTAACAAATCAATGTAAATGTGGGCCTCATCTGGAAATGATGACTGGCCTCTGCACAAACAGATGTAAGTCTCCAGTGGCCCACACGTGTTATTTTTGACAATGACTGAATTAAAGCTCAATTGGCCCATATTTGTGTCAATTTTATTTTGTGGGCCAGATTTGTGTCCAACGTCAGGATGACAAACAAAACCTAAATGGCATCATTCACCCAAATATTAGGCCAAATGAAAGTGACAAAAATGCAGCCCATATGGGTCAGATACACAAAATGTGGGCCACATATATCTTAGCTGTTTTTGCTTATTCTGTGTATGCTCAGAAAAAGGTCATAATTGGATTCTCTGCTAAAAAACATTGACTTGGCCCATGGACTTGACTGGATAGATTTGGACCCAGAAGCTGCATGTCAGTGCATCAGACCATACAGTGATCTACACATGGCACCCATTTTTATTGACTACGTATGGAGCTGTAAAACCGGAGAACAACAGTTATTGCTAATTCTAAAAAGAAGAAATCATTCTTCCTGCTGTACAGAAGGTAAAAAAAAATCTTTGTCCAACAAAAAGTTTTGGAGAAGAAATGTTAGGAAAGATAGAGACACGAGCACCAGAAAACGTCACCGTACAAATAAAATCTGAGGCAGAAGTGGCTGAAACGACGCGGCTTTACCAAAACAGGGAAACGGTAAACAAAACCACACAAAGGTTTCTCTTGGAGAACATGGATGTGGGAGAGGGGAGTACAAAGTCAGCGCTAACATCCCCCTGAGCACCAGTATGGGGACGTTTGCGTCTTTCTTGAGGTTTTTTTTTCCCCCCAGTCATCGATGGAAAACTGGAAGTCAGAGAGTAGGAGCTAAAAAAAGGTCCTAAGGTGGGTGAGTTTTCTCTTCTTCTCCCCCTGCTCTCTGTGGCAGAGAGGTTCCTTTGGGATCTTCAACACAAACAGATGGTCCTTGGAGATCCACTGTTTCACTGCAGCTTCGCTTCTTCTGGAACAATCTGTGAGATGGTCATAGAGAAATAGGAAAACAAGCTGAGAGATTCGTACATCACAGAGGTTCAGCCTAAGAAACACGAATGTCATGTTAGTGATAGTGCTATAACAAATAAATCTGCTGACCAAGAGTTTCTAAAATACTATTATTTTTTATGCAATAAAAATGGATTTTTTTTATATATATATGGAAATCAATATTTTTGTCCTGAAATCACAGCTCTTTATTTATATTTAATCCAATTACTTCTCTAACAAAAAATGACTTAGTTCCAATTGTAATTGATTTGTATTTCATTATTACACTGTTGGATGGGCGTGGCCTCAGGTTTTGGCCACGCCCCCACAAACACACCTGTGCCTGATTTAAAGTCACCTCAGCAATGTTGCTCACTGTTTGAAGATCAGCCTGTTCATCAGCTCATAGTCAAGAACCATAACTTACAGGTAAGAAAAAACCCAAACATTTTTAACTCTTTCATTTTTGGAAATATAGTTTTTTACAGACCTCAGCATCCGGTTCTCAAACCCATATTTTTAGAAATGTTTCAGAAGAGAGAACTAAACTAGCCTGGGTTCTTCTTTCAAGGTTTTATAAATCCTGGTACTGCCTTTGGTGAAGCCGTGGTCCTCAACAATAATCTATTTATTTGCGATTGTGTTAGTCAGCAAAACATACAGGATGGTATTTTAAGCTTGAGGAGCTTTGTTCAAACAAAAACTATCTATGTTGGTGGAGTGAAGTGAAGTTATTGAATGTACGCCATTCTACCTTTGCACTAAAATGTGCTAAAAATATGTATGTATAGTTATATAAAATTAAAAAAAAACTGATTAATTTCACATATTAATTATTTGAGCTTCATGTTAATTTTCACAGCCCTAATTAAAAAGGTTGACCCTTCTCTTTATCTCTTAATCTGAAATATCTATTCAGCTTGGTTTTTTTTTCAATTTACCTTGTGACTTTTTCTAAAAATAGAAACAGAATTAGAACTTATTTTTTAACTGTTGCTAAACTCTGACTTCCATCAGTTGTTTTCCACCTCAGTCGTTCAATTTCTCTCCTCGTTCCTGACAAGATTTCTGAGTTAGGTCCTCAACATTCTCCATCAGTGTCATTATCAAAAACCTCATTCGAGTTGATTGACCAACTCTGGCAACTGCCAAGAAAAGTGTGTGTGTGTGTGAATGAGGGAGAACACACTGAGAGAGAGAGTAAAGAGAGTAAGATTAATGCTCTTGGCTGCCAAACTAAATTTGTGCGATCGTCACGTCGGTGTTGATAAAACACGATCCCTGCTCTGTTCCCCGGCTGTAGCTGCACCAACAACATCACACTCTTACAGACGCTCTAATACCAGAGCTGCTCTGGGCCAGGAGCGAGACGGGAGAGAGAGAATCGCTCGGAGAGATCAGGCTTCAAACGAGCGGCGCCACAGACGTCTTGGACACGTGCCCGTCTCCTTTGTGTCGTGGGAAAAAAAATGTAATAATATGAGTCTGGGAAGAATTGTCTGTTCTGCTCAGTTTAAGGGCAAATTCACTTTTGTTGTTGTAAATTTTGATATGGTTTGAAGAAAGGTTGGGAGAGGAGGATATCAAACATCTGGTACTCTCAAAATTATATTTATATATATATGTGTATATATGTATATGTATATATATATATATTTATGTGTATATATATGTATATGTGTATATGTATATATGTGTGTGTATATATATATTTATACATGTGTATATATGTATGTATATATATGCATATATGTATGTATATATATATATATATACATATACATATATATATATATATATATATATACATATATATATATATTAAAGCGGTTAGGAAGAACAAGAATAAATGTTTGGAAGAAGCTCTGTTACAGGCTGAATAAGAGGACAAGATAGTGGGAGCAGCTTCCAATACTTCTAGAAAGTCTTTATATGAAACCTACTAAAATTGTACGTTATCAGAAAAGGCAGAAACTTTTCCAATATGGAATTAACATGAGTCACAGACTTAAAAGGATTTCCAGGATTCTCAGCCTGGAGGTCCGAGCCCGGGGCGGCAGCACACGCTCAACAGGGAAGAGATCCACTGTGAGGATATCTGCAGCCTGCTATCTCATGGAGTAACACTCACTCCTGATAGAAAATAAAATTCAAACACACAGGAAAAAGGTTGTTTTTTTTTTTTAAAGCTCAGAGGTGATAATCTCGATTGCATCTCAGACGGTTGTTCAAACTGAAGCTGGGAGAAATCGAAGCAATAAACCACGGGAGTCGCGCTCCACCGTGGTTTAAGATCACATCACAGTTGAGTGCAGCAGCATTGTGGGAGTTTATGTTCTACTGGATCCGTCTCTGCGCTCTCCCACTAACACTCGAAGCCACGACGCGTCTCACCTATGACATGTGGTTCTGCTGCGAGCCCGGATTCTGCTGTTGCTGCTGTTGCTGCTGCATGAGAAGCTGCTGCTGCTGGCGCCGCCGGGCCGTGCGCAGTTTCTCGAAGCGGGCCTCCATCTCCTCCAGGACCTTCGGGGTGTAGCGGACGACCAGCTTGACACTGTCCTTGGCTGCCTTCAGGAGCTCCACGGCTTTTTCATGGTGTTCACCCTCGACGCTCTACAGGAACAGGATAAGAGTTCATCTGAATCATCATCAAAGGAGTGATAAAAATATTCATAATCCCTGAGACTTGTCCTGAAGGCTGTGCAGTAATGCTACCTTAGCTGCACTACCACAGGTGACCAGCAGGTCAGTGTAATTTCCAAACTAAAGTCACTTACGACACCATTGACAGACAGGAGCTGGTCCCCTCTCTTCAGACCTCCATGTCTCTCTGCCACTCCTCCTGGGATGATGCGTGAGATGTAAATGGGGGAGTTCTGCTCCTTTCCTCCCATCACGTTGAAGCCCAGTCCTTCTTCTGTCTTGGGCAGCTCCACCACCCGGGGGTGAGAGTGACCCTCGCTGGCTGCAAAGGCAGCGACTGTGGCCTGAGAAGGAAATGAACAGACGACACCGACAACACGATTCAGTCACCAACAACGTCATCAACGTCAATATATTATCACTGAGATCAACAACATCAAGATCATCAACATAAACTGCAATGTCATCAGCAACATCAGCAATATACTGTAACTTCAACGTCAATATAATCAGCAACATCACTGTGAATGTCATCGACAACATCAAGGTCGTCATCAAGGTCATCGTCAACATCAACATTTCATGGCGTTAACTTCAACATCAGCAGCAACATCAGGAACACCAACAGTATTGTCAACATCAACATCAACAAAGTCAGCGATATAAACAACATCAACACAAACAAGGTGATGATCAACGTCCACGTCAACATGAACAATCTCCATCACTAACATCAACTCCATCAACATCATCAACTGTAGCATCAACATAATCACCAGCATCGACAACATTTTCACCATGAACTGCTGTGTGTTTGCTGCGATGTTGTTGACATTGCTGTGCAAATATTGTCGCTGCGTGAATTGGAAGGAAACAATTTGTGAGCTTAAGTAAAGACGACGCCTCCAGTGTTCCTTCCTCCAGCAGCAGCAGCTGTGACTGTATCGAATCCATCTCATAGAAAAGACTCGAACCAAATTGGAAGTTTCAAGCAAAGCTACAAAACATTCTGCGTGAACATCCATCATTTTTGTTTTGCAGGATAAAAGCCATCATTTAAAATTCCTACGGTGCGTTCAAGGACTCTAATGCAATTTCCTTCCCTGGCGATAAGATACGTACGTATCCAGTCAATGCAAATATGCCAAGTGGTAAGAACCCTGACAGAGAAATAAGCCAACGTCAAACGCCAAATAAAATTATATCACCTTGTCTTCAAACTCTTTCTAAATTCTAGCCAACAATGACCTAAAAATATACCACAACTAAAAAAAACAAATTGTATAAAATATGTAAATTTGTCAAATATTGTCACTGATGTATTTTTCCCCTCACGTGCGACACTTTCCTGGCTCTCAGTTTAGCAAAGATTATCACATCCAAGCAGCAGATTAAAGGAGCAGCCAGGAAACTCTCAGCCTCCGCTCCTCCACTCCCTCTCCTGCTGCTGATGGTTCACGCTCTCAACCAGGAGCTCGTTAGCTCGGGCTGTGAGAGCTAATGGCGACCGAGCAGAGCGGACGCTCCACCGCAGGTGCTTTGCTGTCCACCACATGTGAGAGACAACAGTAGTAGAAGAAGGAAATTCTAAAATCTCTCTGAGGTAGACGGCACGCTCAGACCTGGACGCTCTGTCTCCATTACCCAGGAGGTGAACCCTGAGCGCCATTGGGACTAAAATGGGATTCATTAATTTTTTTTTTCTCTAATTAATTAATCGAAAATTAAAGCATTAACCCCCCATCTTAAAATAATAATATGAAATACTGTTCACACTGTTTTATGGCACTGCTGTTCTGTTCTGTTCTGCAAAACACAGAGCACACACTTTTCTGATTTACTGATTCAGATCAACGGTTTACGGCCGACATCATGTCCTGACAATAAAAGTTATCATTTAGATTTAATATCACCTCAACACAAATCACTTCATTTTCTCATTTTGTTTTTCATGTAAACTGACAGCTCATCAATGCATTCGGTGTTTCTTGAATTCTGAAAACTGATTAAAAACCTGAATCTTCAACTGAACTTCCCCTAAAGGTAATGTGCCAGCAGGTGTGGGCGCTCATCCATCTTAAAACGTCATTTCTTCTTCTTTTTTAATATGCTAATTCCATCCAGTCAACCTTCAACTTCCCATCATTTCTTCCTCTTCCTCCGTTGCCTTTGTCTGCTCTTCTCCCTCTGATGATGTGACGGCAGCTCCTCAGCATTCACAGCAGCGCCTCCTGGGCCTCAAAAGACACTGACCTTCACAACTTTATCGGGATTTCTTGAAATGAAAAGAATAAGGCAAACAATCTGGCCGGACGCCAGCGTTTGAAAGACCTTGCTACGGGATTGCAGAGACACTTCTTTGCATGACTTCACAAATCAAAAGTCATTTGCTTCCATTTTTTTTCTATCTCCGCAGACACGTCGATACTCCTCGTCTCCATTAGGGTGGTTATTAGGAGCCTTAGGGCTCAGTCTCCGAGCAGGAATTCATTTAAATAATGAGACGATCAGACAGGATCGAGTTGTTCCGATGAAACAATACTCACAATTGTTGGGAGATTTCCCGTCTCATTAACTAAACGCTGAGCTGGAACAGAAGTCTTGTCAGGTATTGCTTGTGTTTCGTCATGGTTGCCACTGCAGCTTGTAGACCACGTTTCAAACAGCAGCACTGCTACAGTGTGAAGCTACTAGAAACTTTCATGTGTGAGAGGCTGAAGGAATCTAAACAACGCTGGTTTAGTTTAAATCCGTCTCCACGGAGCGGTTTTAGCATTTTCAAATTTGTTCTGGAAGTCCTTGAAATATATATAACTCCAATTTAACACATTGTTAAACAGAACGTTGGAGTTGGAGCTGCTCAGCGTCAGAACAACTCACTGTACGATTTTACACTGTGAAGAGATGAAACCAGAGGTGAAGTAGGTTCAACATGGCTAAGCTAATTTTAGAGACTACAAAAAAATGAGGTTTGGATACAGGATACAGGATACAGATGACCAAAACAGCTGTTCAGGAAAATGAGGAAGCTAGCTAACAGATGACCAAAACAGCTGTTCAGGAAGTTAAATTTGTACAATTTATTTTTAAAAATAGCATCTTATATTTACATTTTTATTTTGCAACAGTAAAAAATTTCGGGGATTTTTGACTTGGCACCGTAAAACCATCCATCCACTCACTGAACTATTTTCTACTTCCATCCATCCTTCATCCATCCATCCATTCTTCATCCATCCATCCATTTTTCATCCATCCATCCTTCATTTATCTATCCATTATTTGTTCATCCATCCATCAATTATCCATCCATTATTTGTTCATCCATCCATCAATTCATCCATCAACCTTTCATCCATCCATTCTCCATCCGTCCATTCTCCATCCGTCCATCTTTCATCCATCCATCATCCTCTCAGAAATGTCCTGTTGTCTCCGTACCAAACTCGACGTCATCCTTCCACTTGATTACTTCTTCACTTCTTTACCACACACTGTAGTTTGAAGATGACTAGAAAATAATTGCCATTCAACTCCTGCTTAATCAACCCCCCCCCAAACCTCTCTCCCCCCCAACACTTTTAATGAGGGCCATTAGTGAAGCGGGGCATGTTTGGATAATTTCATCCAGCTTTTGCCAACAGAACTGATGAGAATGATATAAATGGGACGCCGTGATTAACAGCAAGTCAGTGTCTCATTAATTACAGTTTACACTCGTCACACGCAGCACATTCTTCTAGAAGCAGCAGCTCTGAGGCAGCTCTTACCTTGGCCGTGGCTCTGGCCTGGTACTCTGGACAGCCGTTCACTGTGATTGTTTCGTGCATGTACTGGTAGACCTGCGGGGACAGACAGGAACACGTATTACAGATGATAGCTCAAGAATTGGCTTCAGGTGAATTTCACAAGCAGTAAAAGAAATATTCTTTAAGTTTATCTGAGTGTCGGAGCAATACAGGAAGGGGTTAAACCTCCGACTGCCCCGATGACGGTCAGAACGTCAGTTAGATGTTACTAAAAAACACTGGTCTTTCACAATGATTATGGCAAAGACAATAACATCTGTATCATAATGTACCAGGTAATGTTGCGTCACACTTGTAGTGATATTTTGAGCAGATTTAAAGGAAAGACACAGACTTCTGTATCAGACCAAGATTTTCACTTCCTGTCACTCAACAACCGTGTCTTAGATGAGGGCCAAGTCCCTGGATGAGCCGCACAGACAGTGTCTCGGGCAAAAATTCATTACTGTTGAGCCTGAACCGGTGCCAAGCATCAGCTTTTCTACGTCCAGTTTTGTGAAAAGAATTTTTTTTCCTACTCTCTTTTTGCCACGGCAGACAAGATCGATGGCGACAGCCGAACTTTTCAGTTAAGACGTGTCTCTGAGCTCATGCTTACAACCGAACACCAAGAAATTAAAAGATTGAAGCAGAATGAAAATGATGTGCAGGTAATATCCTGGAACGAGGAACGAGGAGGGGAAAAAAGAATCTGTTGGTGAATTTCAGACTCTGAAATGATTAAGCTGTTGGGCCTGAGCCTAATAAGTCATGTTTTCTGCCAGAGTTGCTGCGGCCGACTGGATGAGAAAGCATACATTACAGTTTGACACGTACAAGCACACTGTCTTGTTTGCATCCGAACCATCAGACCACTGATGCCTGTGTACGTCCATATTGGACTTTTGTGGTTCAGAATTGACACATCAAAGCGCAGCAGCTTGCTTTGACAGACCACAGTACAACACTACAAAGGCCCCTCTTGTAGGATACAGAGATGTTTGTATGGAGAGATATCAAAAGGAGTAGAAAATCCCCCGGCCTGCTGGGTGTTGTTTGCCGAAGGATCTGGGTCTGAATAAAAATGAGCTTCCTGAGAATCTGCTGCTCAGCCACAACAAAAAACATGTCCCACCTTTGCATTTTTAATGTTAGTCACCGTCTTGTAAATGTCACAAAAGTCTTGACTCCATCTTTTTGTGGAGAACCGCTTTCTTCTTCTTCTTCTTCTTCGCCCCCAGCTGCTATTTGAAGCCATTCAATGTATCGATGTCTCTAAAAATTCTCAGAGATGTTCAATTTAATGGCTATGCATATCACCTACTAAGGCTGGAATCAAACCCACAACCCTTTAGGTGTAAAAAAAACTGCACTACCTACTGATCCACAGTGAGCCCCGCCCCCAAAATGTGACAGGGGTTGGGACCCCACATGGGGTCGCCTCAAAATGTTAGGAACCATATATAGCTCGAACCCAAAAAAATAAATTATATTCAGTGGGAGAATAGGACAAATGTGTAAATATTTGGCTAAAGCAAATTGCCAAAATAAATTAGCCAAAAATTAGCCATAGATCGAACCTGAAATGTAAATTTGTTTCAGTAGGTAAATCTCACTGAAAGAGCACTTAAAGTTCTCCACTTAGGGTTTACAAACTAAAAGATTTGTCAGAGGTATGGATAGGCATTGACAACGGTTAGCCAAAAATGTAGCAAAATAGCTAAAAGTTAGCTCGAGTTAAAAAGAAAAAAAGTAAAAACTCAGGTAAAAAGTGTATGAAAGAAAAGGACATAACGGCTTCAAGCTCAAGAATAGGAAGGGAGACATTGGTGGTTCAAAGTTCTGTGTCAGTGTTGCTTTGATCCCCCTGCTTCCTTTGAATCGCAGAGATGAGGACTGTCGGGAGAGAGGGGAGATTTTCCAACCAGGCGGTAATTTTTTTCTGGACAGAAAAAGAACACCAGACAGTCTATTTCCTCTCTGGGTGGTGATAAAAACGACAGGGGGAAATATATGAAAGCAGCAGGAAATAACTTAATTCACCTTTCAACATTTATCCTAATGTGGTGTGGGAGCTGGAGGAAGCAAGATTGAATCAAGATTGAATCAAATCCATAAGAGGAAAAAACCCTCCCCACGTTATTATGTTGATTGAAAATCTGCACTGAAGTGTAAAATAAGCCTGATGGTAAAAAAAAAAGAAGAAAAAATGCCGTCACTCCAACAATCCAGCAGCCGATGAAACTCTCTCAGCCGATGTTCGGCAGACTCTCGCTCTCCATCATTTCCGGCTGGTTAGAGCCTCCACTCATCTCGTCTTGTGTCCTTCCTCTTCCATTTGCATGGCTGATTGACCCTGACAACTCTTTTCTGGGGATGAGACTAATGCAGCTCCACTATATGCCCTCGCTCATCACCGGCGAAGGTAGCGTGGAGGAAATACGACCAGCTCATCAGAGCCCTGTCCCTTTGTCACTTAGTCCAACTAGCGCTGCTGAACGGACTCTTTTTAACTGCCTCACGCTGACAGCCGTTCATCTGTCACTTTTAACAAGGCTGATTCACACTCTGGAGGAGAGGAGGTGCTCAGGGTCGCAGTCAGACCTGCACCATTTTCGGAAAAGTTGTCACACTTCCTGTCATTCAGAGACCTTGGAACTCGATCGAGGAAGTTCAGGATTGGGCATAAAAACACCATCCTCCCAAATCCTGGCCTTTTTATCCAACCACCTGATGTTTGTGTACATCCGTGGCAGCTTCCTGTGACAGACACTGCAAAGCCCTGGTTCTGTAGGATCCTGAGTCGTTTGTTTCAAATCCCTCAGCCTGCTGAGATGTTTGTCGAAGGAACCAGGTGAATAAAAATGACCTGTTTCCTCAGAATCTGGGACAGTTTTTGAAAACGAAAGCACCGGTGAATGCTGCCAAGAAATGTCTCCCACCTCTGCACTCTGTACTCTCTTGGACATGTCACAAAAGATTTGACTCTGTTTCTATTCAACCTCAGTCGTTTTCTTCTTCATTACGTCTACTCCTCGACCGGCTCAAATGGAACCCACATTATCATACAAGTCACATCTGGGACTGCCTTTGTATGAGGAGTCCAGACTGGACGTGAAGGAGCAGCCGTCAGAGGCTTTGTCTTTTTTGTCTCTGTTTTGCTTTTAAGACAAGATGACAAAGAGTTGACGTCTGTCTCTGTCTACGCACAGTCAACAGCAGCGTGAACAGAAAAGGAAAGGAAAGTATGTCTCCTCAGGCAAAAACTGCTGCTGAATGTGCATGACCTTGAAGTCCATAGAAGTCTGGACATTGTCTCCGGGGGTCAGGGGACACCTGATGGCATGACTTTGTTAGATTGCATTGCATTACATTATATTGAGAGAAAAGGTGATTTACCGTATTTTCAAGTCGCACTTTTTTTGGGGTTTACGACTTATACTGAGGTGCGACTTATATATATTAAAAGATATAATATAATGTTTACACTGACAGCCACTAGAGGGCACTCCAGCTGTCTGGTGCGACTTATACTCCTGAGTGACTTATAGTCCGGAAAATACGGTATTTGCTAAAGTTCTGCCATCTCAGACTGAAGGTCAGCTTCTTTTGGTGGAGTTTTTTAATAAAAAGAAAAGGGTTTTTTTTCTTTTCCATGTCAGAAAGGAAATGTCACCAGCTGTAAACTAAAATCACGGAGTGAAAATAAGTGTTATTTACAGATTATTCAAAAAGAAGGCTGCATTGGATGATGAGTAAAAAGTGCACACAAAGCCTTATCTTTTTCTGAGGACAAACCCAAACACATCATGGAGCTGGAATATCAACCCTCTGGTCATAAACGCTGCCACAGTCTGACACACCAGTGCAGTTCAGGCCATTAAATCCATCCAAACTGCTTCTCTCCCCACTGTGATTCGTCTTTCTGCCCTGGTCTCATGATCATTTCCACTGCTGGAGCATCATGGATCTGTGGCATTCCACCATTACAGCTCTTTGAGTGCACCGTGTAATAACAACAATACTCAGTGTCCAGCACTTAGAACAGATCGGATCCTGCTAATGCTGCTGGATCAGCGCTGGATGCTGCACAGCTAGTATTGACTGCTATTATTCTCCTCTAATCTCTGAAGGTTTTCTGAAGGTTTGCCAAGTCTTCTAAGTGAAGTTTTGCATCTTTGATACCTGTGAAAGGTCGTCCACGGCCAAAGTAACGGCTCAGAGCCATTAGCTGGTACAGAGCTGGTGCCAGGATGTGTCAGGCTACGCTGGTCAGAACTGGATATTACAAAAGACACTTTGTTTCTGTCTGTTTGCAGGAGGTCATTGGTTTAGTGCAATGTGGTGTCACAAAACTATTAGCTTTTACAGCTAACCACAAGCCTTGTTGTTGGCTAACATGAACTTTAAATGTTGTTGTTGTTTTTTGCTAGGTTTTGTTAAACTTCGAGGTATACTTTTTTTGTAAAACCTGTACTTACGTTTAATACACATTAGCTTAATACATATGTTTAACTAACTAAAAAAAATGTACGTATCTTTGAAGTAGTTGAGTAGTGTTTTTCCTTACAGTAGCTTTTTTGAGCTAACACATTTTTCACTACTGTTCTCTCTATGCTGGTTGAGTAGTGTTTTTCCTTCCTTTTTTGAGCTAACACAGTTTTTCACTACTGTTCTCTCTATGCTGGGTCCATGGACCAAAACATGATAATAATACAGAACAAACCTTGTCTGAAACTGATGTAAGCGTTGAGTTCACATCTAAGGTGATGTTAGATTCCTCAAAGACGTGACCTTTACATTTGTTCCGTCCTGCGGGGGCAGCACTGACTCACCTCTCTGATTGCTGTGCAGAATTCACTCTGAAGGACTTTCTTCAGGGACTGGAGCTTGTGACCGGGAACGTCGCCGGATTCCTGCAGCTTCTCCAGCAGCTCGATGGCCCTCGCAACATCTGGTGGAATGAGAAAAGGTACTTGAGCAGAAAGAAAGAAAGGAAGAAAAATGCATTTCAGCGCTTTAACATCACAGCCAGGGAATCGATAGGTAGTGTAATGGAAATGGACTCAGTCAAGGCCAGAGCAATCCAGTCCATGGATCCTCTCCATTGGCTCAGCTGTGTTTATGACAGTAAAAAAACAAGGAGAAAACAAATTCGGATTCTTTTTTTGTTAAGAGAGACCACAGGGAGGCGTCATAACCAATGACTAATATAAGGCTACGATTAGCCCTGAAAGACAAAAAATGCTTTTTAATAGATAGCTAAAAGATAATGGCTACCGAAACAGCTATTTACTTTACAAACAAACAAAAGGTAAAAAAAAAGGAATTAAATCAAGGAACCTAGAAACAATTTGAGGTTGATGTGTACTGATACCAGAATGTATATATATATATATATATATATGTGTGCCAAAAACAAACCCAAACCTGTGTAAGGGTAGCTAAATGATAACCAGAGCAGAAATTTAAAATTGTCAAAAAGTACACTTTGTAAGTAGTAATGTTCAAAACAAAAACAAACATAAGTCGTAAAGTACAGGGATAAAATAAACATCAATATAACTTGGCCCAGAAATATCTAATGTTGGTAAGATACAGAAAGAGTCTGAATAAAGAGCCCTGGCAAATATTAAATATGTAAATAATTAATTCAATTTACAAAAACAAATGAAATCACATCCTAAACTGTGAATTTCCATTTCTACAACCACTGTCAAATTTACTGCGTTCACTAAACTGTAAACTGTAAACAGAAACAACGTATTTCTCCTGTCAGCCCACGAGTCTGTTTGCACAGCACGGCGATAAACACAAATTGTTCCTGAAGACATGACACACACTCACTCTCCGGCACCCTTATACACACAGTGATATTGAATTCTGGGAATAAACTGTAGAGTCAAGTCAATAAAGCAGACGGAGAGCAGAGACTTTGCTGTTCACAGACCTTTGGGAGAAAAGAGGAGACGATTTCTCCGGCTCTCCGAGTGTGGGAACAGTTTTTAGAGCCATTAAGAAGGAGGACGTTTGAATTACAGGAACGGAAGTTTTACTGCATTTCACTTTTAATATGTGCTGCTAATGGGTACAGCTCACAGAAAATCTAATGTTCTGTGCAATAAAATTATAAGGCTTTTTATGGATGAAGCAGAACTTGCATGTTAATTTCAGGATAATCACAGTGAAGGATGACACGGATCAACACCGTTAAAAAAGCTCTGACACCAGCCTCTGCTTCAACAGTGACTGGGCCCAATAGAATAGAATAGAATAGAATAGAATAGAATAGAATAGAATAGAATAGAATAGAATAGAATAGAATAGAATAGAATAGAATAGAATAGAATAGAATAGAATAGAATAGAATAGAATAGAATAGAATAGAATAGAATAGAATAGAATAGAATAGCCTTTATTGTC